TCACGCATGAAAAAAACATAATCTCCCTAGCCCATGTATCATATTGTTTGAACATTGAAGGAGTTTATTGTGAGGCTAATGTGCAGAGATCGGGGGCAGACCCTGGTACACAGGAGGAAACCACTGTGAGTGGTAGGCTGGACTGGTGATGGATGGGTCACCGTGGGCGGGAGAGATCTCCCTCGCAAATGTTCTGCCAATGTTGGTCACCACCATGCACCGTCTCTCTTCCCGGCCTTGAGTTCCAAAGTGCAAAGTGGTTCAGTCATGTGGGCCAAAGTATACCAGCTTCATCTGTAGCTGCAGGAATGATTAGCCATGCAAATGAGAGATATCAATTAAATTCTTTGGATACTGACAGAGATTCAAGGCTGATCATGTTGCCGATGGTGGATGGAATAGACCCATTCACTTTGTTAATCCTTAGGTTCCTGAGGATGTACACACGCACAAAGTTCCATCAAAGGAATAAGAGGGATACAGCAAGTGGTTGGGGGGAGAGGAAAGTGGAAATGGAGTTTAAAAAGGCCGTGAGAGCTGAACATGTAAACATTACAGCTTACACACACACTCTAATAGGCGGTGTTGGAAGTCGGAGATGTTACGCTCAGATTTGAATGTCACTTGAGGTACCCATTCTAATAGGTTGCCTCCAACTGTGAGCACACATATGTTTTCTATACTACACTTTTGGCTTTCTAACACGTTTTGTAAAGAGCAGACACCAGAAGAATGGAAAACAGGAGATACCACAAGAGGCACTGTTTTGAATGTTACACAAGCACACCAAGGCAACAATGAAGCCTATAGTGCTAGTGAAGCAACAGTAAGCAGGCAAATTTATGGGATTCTATCATGTCAGCCAGCAGCTCTGGCCAGAAAGGCGAGATTAGATTAGGGTTGACCAGTTTTGAGGGGCAGTCATTTTTCTTTACTTTTCTTTTGTTTTATACGAGACATGATTTGTGTATGATGGAACTATCAGACGTTATACCTGGTAAGGTTGCGCCTTTGATCGTCACTGCCAGCTTGATTTCAAAGGTTCCCACTTTCATCATCCTCCCATGTATGGAATTACCATCCTTGCCCATGTAACTTGTCGCCTGAATGTTGCAGGACCACATTTCAAGGCTAATGTGTAGATCTCAGCCGCGAAAGAACCTGGTACCCACGAGGTTACCAATGTCAGTGGCGGGCTGGACAGCTGACATAACGACGCTGTCGGGAGAGATCTCCTGCTCCGCCAATGTTGGTCACCGCCGTGCACCGTCTACATCCCTAGCCCTAGAGTCAAAAGTGCACAGTGGTTCAGCCATATAGCCCAAAGTGTACCTGGACAGAGGACATGGAGATCCTCCCAGTGTCATCGGCGGTCCTCCCCTGCTCGGTTGTCATACAGTGCTGTGAAAAGGCGTGTCTGGCTGCACGTAGAACGTAGGTCTGCCAATCAGGCCGACCCTACACCTGCCTGCCGTTGCTGCAGCTGCAAACTCTGCAGTAGTGGCTGCCACTGCAGCAAATCCAGCCTTGGAGAATATTTTCCTGGTGATGGGGACATTGGTGCATAGGGGGAATGGCGACGGAATCTCCCCACCACTTCATTTTCAGAGAATTTCACGCTCAATCTCCTGCCCACGTTTGGAAGATTCAGAATCTCTCTTGCCCATATACCTTGTCATTTGAACATTGCAGGGCCTTGTCGCGAGGCTAATGTGCAAAGGTCGTCAGTAGACCCCCGGTACCCAAGAGGTCACCACTCTGATTTGCGGCCTGGACCGGTGACACATAACATGGGCGGAGAGAGATTTCCCTCGTATCCGGTGTGCCAATGTTGGTCACCACCATGCACCGTCTCCTTCCCCAGCCAAGGCTAAAGTGCACAGTGCTTCAGCCATGTGGGCAAAAGTGTACCTGATTAGCAAATCCTGTAGTCATCCCCTGCTCGGCTGTCATTGCAGTGCTGAGAAAAGGTGTGTCTGGCAGCACGCGAAGCATAGGTCAGCCAACCAGGACGGACACCACACTTGCCGGCCGTTGCTGCAGCTGCAAAATCGGCGGCATTGGCTGCCTCTGCAGCAAATCCAGCCTTGGCGAAGATTCCCTTGGTGATGGAGGCATCGGCCCAGAGGGGGAATGGCGCCAAACTCTGCCCATGACTTCAGGAGCACCTTCCACCCCCAATGGGTCTCGATTCAGCTTTGTGCTGGTGCAGATGCTCCCTGCTCACACGAAGCTTCGTGTGGGACCATCATGCGTTATGAACCACGGCAAAGGACTTCCATTCTTCCTGCCACATATCCGCCCACTCGACCCACTGCTGCCACCTCCCCCCTCCTAGGACATAGCCATCGCCACTAGTGCCATGCCAGCCTCCAGTAGTTGTGGACGAGCAGGCTGAAGCTGTAGCAGAGAGGATGGAGCTTGTGGCTATCGCAGGCTCAAGAGGAGGCCGGCAGGTTCCTCATGAGCTCCTGCATGCTTGTGGAGCACAAGGTCTGTTGAGGGCGCTTTCTACTGGCGTTTCAAGGAGGTGTGAGTGCTGGCGGAGTTTCGTTGCGGTTGCATTATGCTGGGGGGATGGCTGCAACTCTGCTGCTGTGGGGTTGGGGGAAACTTTGGTGGAGGCAACTCGGATGACAAGCTTGGGTCCTCCCATCTGACACGTGAGCTGACACTGGTGAGTAGCATTGAAATTGAGTAGGAGCACATATGGTCTGCAGTCACTATATTCAAAAGGATATTCTTGCTCGTTCCTACCTCACAACCATTGGAAGGAGCACTACATATGGATAAGGCAATGAAAAGTTTTCTAGTTTAGGTGAATGTGGTGGTAAAACGCAAGATCCACATACATCTGGCAGCAAACTGGCATCTCCATGCGGATTTGAAAGATTGTGGCGAGGCATACAAGCTCGTTCTAGCTCGATTGGTTTGCGTATCATAGATGAGCCACAGCCCTAATTAGCTCCCACTCATCTCATCGGCTAGTCAGCTCGTTGTGCAATTTAACGACTAAGCTGGTCATAGGCCTATGCTCAAACCCACTATTTCTAGGAGCCTTGCATTTGTGAGTCATTTCCAACAGCTCCAAATGCTCATATGGCCGAGCTTGGACCCTCTAGTCATAATGCGGTTCAAATTGAATGGCATGGGACAGCGTGGTTGGGCTAGCCTGTTTGGAACACGTTCCGGACTGCCCTTTTTGCATGTACCGCTTGTCGATCTCAGCCTCGCAATAACTAGCCCGGCTTGTTGGGTCAGCTTGCTGCAGAAACATCATGTACAATGACTAGTTGTATCATGGTCTGAGTCCACCAACCAACTAGTCACCTTGCTGCAGATCTCTGGCAAACTTGTTGTAGAACCAACGTACCATAGGCCGCCCCCCAGGCCCTGGGTTAGCGGGCTTGCTCAACCCAGCGCCAGCCCGTGGTTATGCCTAGCATGTATGCTCGTCCTCAAATCAAGTTGACTTGGTGTCGCTATCGCAATCCCTCTAACTTCTGAACTTGTACGATATAATGTTGGCTCTCTTTCCTATTCCCTTCACGATACTCACAATGTGTGGAGGTTGCTTAGGCTACCGATGGTGGATAGAATAGACCCACCCAGAGAATTGTTGTAAAGAGACCTAATGATTCAACATATGAAGGGTGTATGGGCGCACAGAAACAAATACAGCAAGAAAACCATACCTCAATTTATGGACACATGAGTATGGCTGCATATAAAGCGGATACGATCAAACCATTGCTACAGTGCCCATGAAAAGGGTGCCATGAAACTGTATAAAAAAAGAACTGAACTAAAATGTAGGAGAGAGATGAGTGAACATGACATTCTGATATGTGATATGTGATACAAGCTACCTACTCTAAAAGGTGCCTGATTGTGAGCAGAACACAAAGAAGCTGCTGAATTTTACGATCGACATTATTCCACAACGCTGCAAGAAACAATGGTGAATGATGTGCCGGGGTAGCCGAACGTTAGCATTTTGACACTAGATGTTTAATGGACAGATTGACAAACCCTTCATATTGTTGTCAATGTCCATAAAAATGAACTCTGGAGGCTCAGCTCGGTTAGGGGGCCTCATAACCTTGCTCATGTATCTTACCGCCTCGACATTTCGGGACCTTATAGTGAGGCTAATGTGGAGAGATTCGTAGCAAATCCTGCTCACTACTATGAGTGGCGAGATGGACCGGCTCACAACAGTGACAGGTCGCTGTGGGCACACAGGAGGAATGACGGCATTCTCTCTCCGCTAGTTCAGGGGCACCTTCCATCCCTAGTGGATCTCAATTCACATTCGCGGAGGTCAGTTAGGGCTCTCTTTCTGGATTCCTTGCTGATACTCACAATTTTTTTAGGCTGCTCATTTGGCCGATGGTGGATGGAATAGACCCACTCAGCGCGTTGTAGCTGAGATCTCTGGTGGTAAAGCAAGCGAAGTATATTATGGGTGGAAATAAATGAAGACAACTTGCGCCTTATCGCAAACATGCAACTGTGTACACATTCAGAAGCAGGAGAAAAGGATATAGAGTACATAATGTTTGTGTTGGTGGAAAGGCACAGCAGGATACAACTGTGACCTGAAACTAAGTTGCGGAAGACGCGTCTAGCGTCTTAGACCCGTCCGTCTAGACGCAGCGTCTAAGACGCTAGATGCTAGTGAGGTTGGATTAGACGCAATACTAGACGAAAACCCAGGCAGGCCTAAAAAAAACTTGGGCAGACCAAAAAAAGTACCAAGGGGCATGGGGAGGGTGGGGAACATGCACCTATGTCACATTGGGGTGAATTTTTCTGCGTACCATAATTTTTCCCCCATTCTTAGACTTCACAAAAATGATCATCTTATGTAGTTAACCTTCCATGCCTCTCTAGTAGTAGCAAACTTGAAAAACATTACTACTACTACATATCTGAGCAATCACTTCCTAACTCTCCTCCTCATCCTCCTCCTCCTCCTCTTCCTCCTCCTCCTCCCCTTACTTCTCCAGCGCCTCCTGCTCTGCCCACTCATCGAGGCACACGTCGTCCTCCTCCACCTCCACCTCCTCATCCTCCTCCAACTTGTACCCCTCGGGGATGGGGGGGGGGGGAATGTTTCCCTCCACCACTGCACCCTTCCTCCCCACCACACTAGGCCCCGCTTCCGCATCCTTGTGGAACTTGTGCACAACATTCCAGCTGTACGCAATGTACACAAGGTCGCGCACATTCGCCGACCCAAGCCTGTTCCTGCACGCCGTGTGCACGCCATCCCATGTAGACCAGCCCCGCTCGCACGGGGAAGCGGAAATGGCCTGGGACAGCGTGCGCCGCGCAATGCGCGCCAGGTCGGCGTACTCCCATCCATTGTACTGCCACCACAACATCACGTTCCCCTTCCTCAGCTGAATCTCCCCACGCCCATCGATCACGGTCTGTGTGCCGAATCCTCCTTCGCCGTTGATGTAGGCCGTCACCCCCTCATGCAGCGGCCTCACCGGTCCCTTCTTGCCGCGGTTCTTCTTCCAGTACTTGTCGACGAACGCCTTCTGTCGCTCCAGCCACTCCTGCATGACCTTGGTGCACTCTGCATCCTGCAGAAAGATCCCTTCCTCCTGGTTCGCCGGGTACAAGATCCGGCTTGCCACGTGGAGGGGGCAAGCCAGGCTCTTGCCCCAACGCCTCCTCAAATGCTCCCGCACCTTCTCCTTATCCTCCGACTTCAGCTTGCACTCCCTCCCCTCCAGCAGCTTATCCAACTCCTTTGTCAGCTGCAGCATGATGTCGTACAGCTGGCCCATCATCCCCTTCGCCGCTGAATCCGTTCTCCGCATCACATTATAGAACAGCTCCATCACCTGCAGAAAGACGTCCACCTTCTTCCACCACCCCTGGTCCATCACCCACCCCTCAAAATCCGCTCCTGTAACCATGCTCCCCCCCCTCTCCGGCCAATCCTTGTGCGTCACCATCGCCGTGAGCTGCTGGCAAACGTCGCGCAGACGAGACACTGCGATGAACTGCGTTCCGAAGCGTGTGCCTGCCAGGCGCAACACCGGTAGCGATTTCTTCTCGCCGTGCAGCTCCGGGTCGCGCAGGAAGGCGCGCATGCACTGGAGCCCCCGCACGAAAGAGATCATATTGTCAGCTTGGGTCACGACCACCTGCGCCCAGTCCATCTTGCCCACGTCCTCCATCAGCAGGTCCAGCACGTGCGTCGCGCAGGGAACGAGCTCGATATGCGGCCACTCCTTCCGCAGCAGCTTGCCAGCCTTCTTGTAGTTGCTGCCGCCGTCCGTGCACAACGCCACGACATGCTTCGCCCTGATGCGCTCGATGATCGGCCGCAGTACGCTGACGATGAACTTGCCACTCTTCGTCACCGCCTTGCAATCGACCGCCTCAACGAAAACCGCTCCAGTTGCGGAGATAACTACTACAATGGGAGCTAGACTACGGGCTAGGCACGGGTGCTTGTGTGATCTCTGCGTTCGCTGGTCCTTAGTCGTTTTCCTAGTGCACACACAGCTTGCTAGTTCACGGGGAGAATTAGCAAGAGTTTCACTAGAGAAAGTTGACAACAATGGTACAATGAAGTTGGCATGGCAAGACTACATCAGAGCTAGCATTCAGTTTGGTCGACTGCCACCGCAGCATGGTCGACCACATTCCAGCAGTGCAAAGTCGACGGCGTGCCAACGTCGCAGGTTGACGGCGTGCCAGCGCTACTCACGCAGAACAACAGCACACCCGCTTCGCAGGTCCTCCCAAATGATTGGCGGGCTGAGCCTCGTCACCTGCACAACGCACACACCAAGTCAACCTGGCGCTGATGACTGCTTCTGATCAGCCACGTCGACCTTGGGATACCACCACCGAGGTCGGGCTCGCCAACTTCGCCTGGGCGACCGTCGCACTCCTCCGCAGAACCTCGTCACCCAGGTAACCTGGTCGACCGGGCAACCACGTCGACCAGCTGCTCCCGTACGTGCCTGTCGACCTCCCAAGTCGACGGCCACCTCCAAGTCGACCTCACTAGATCGAACACGCCCTTGGTCGACCAGCTCCAGGTCGACGTCACTTCTGGTCGACCAGCTCCTCGTCGACCAGCTTCATGTCGACTAGCGCAGTTGTCGGCCGACCACCCAAGTTGGCTACCCAAAGTCGGCGTCACGAAGTTGACGTCCAGCTACTCGACGCCCAACTGCTCGGCGTCCTGAGTCGAGGTCGACGTCGGCCCCTCCTTCGTCGACCACCAGGTCAGGTCGACCACCAGCACGTCAACCAGCAGGCTTGGTCGACCAACCACCAGGTCGACCAGCAGTCCGTCAGCCGACCACCGAAGTCGGCTTCCCCAAGTTGACATCCTCCGCAGGTCGACTTCCCAAGTCGACCTCCCTGAATTCGGCGCCACCCTGAAGTCGGCGCCCGTACAGTGGTCTCCGTGCAGGTCGACCTCCTCGTGAACCAGCTCGCCCACTGCTGCAGGTCGGCTGCTCCCCTCACACCCGACCACGAAGTCGGCTCCGCCCAAGCGAGGACGGGGCCAACACACAACTCCCGTTAACACCAGTGTCAATGATGCAAATGATGTTCATCTGCGCGCAGCCGCTCTTGTCCTGCATCATGTCGCAGGCGATCGTTACGCTCGTCTCCGTCCATGACTTCGTTACCGGCGACAACGCCTTCTCAATCCGCTGCTTGCACTGAAGCAGGCAGGCGCCTCCAAAGTAGTGCCGCATGGGGGGGACGTAGTTTGGGCCGGCAGCGGTGACAGCTCGCAGCATGTTGAGGAAGAGCGGGTGCTCTTACAGAGACTCCGGCGTGCGCGTCCCCGCGAGGTAGAGGACAATCGCCTCGTTGGCCGCCCGCCTTCCCGCTTGTCCACCCTCGCCATAAAAGTCATCCATGCGACCGCGCTTCGCCTTCCCTTTCGCCTCGCTCTTGCCGCTCACCGCCGCGACCGCCGCAGTCGTCGCCCGCGCCTTTTGGTTGCGCGCCCGAATCTTCGCCTCGAACATTTCGCGAATCTCCGCGGAAATCTCCGTAGGCACATCCATGCAAACGACTCCCGCCTCGCGTCGACGGCGCGGGTCGTACCACTCGGCGAGATGCTTGGGAGCGCGGCTACTACTAAAAGAAAACTTTTTGTGGCAAAAAAGACACTCGACTTGCTCGCCCTCCTTCTTCGGATCCAAAAAGAAATAATAGTGCTTGTAGATCGAGTGCTCGGGATGCTTAGACTTCTTCTCAACCCCCTCCAATTCTTGAGAAACACGAGCGGATACACCCTCGCAGACGACATTCTCGCTCGCGGAGGAGGAACTACTAGACGAAGGGCTACTACTAGAAGACATGGTTGCGCGCGCGGTGGAAAGAGCTAAACCCTAAGGGTTTTCAAAAGAGATTTGAAAGAAATGAAGGTTGGGGAGCACAAATGAGGGATTTGTTCTCCCCAACCTCTTTGTGGTTAACCATAGAGGTTGGGTTTTGTAGATAATGAGTGGTGAAGACTGGTTTGTATTCAATTGTGGTGGGGGAGGCTTCAAATTTGCATAGGGGGCTGGTTTTGGAGTCGAAATGGGTGGGAACGGGTTTGAATAGCGCGAAATTGAATTTCGCATCGAAATGGCGAAATTCAATTTCACGCGCGGAATTTTTTTTATTTTTTCGGGCTGCCCGATATTTTTTTAGCCATGCGTCTTGCGTCTAAATCAGCGTCTTCCGCTACTTTAAACAGTATACTCCATCGCATAATGTCTTCCGCGTCTTCCTGAAACAGCTGTGCATGCACAGTGCTTAAAACAGTATACTCCATCGCATAATGTCTTCACGGTCTGCTTTTGAACAAATTGATTTTGTGAAGGAAAGTCTGTAGGCTGGCAGCGTTGGCAAGACATTTTGTTTTTTTTTCTATAGCGAAAAGGAGAGTTCAAGGATGGCTCAGATTTGACCAACGATGATGGCAGCTTGAGAATGGCTGGTCTGATGACTTTATTTGCGTATGATCAAACTGATGGCAGCCTACATTGGGTCTTTTCCCTTCGCTACGAGCTTGATTTCATAGAATTTTACTCTCATTTGAACATGAGGAACAGCCAGAACCTCCCTCTCCCATGTATCTTGTCGCTTGGACATTGCAAGACCCTATCATGAGGCTAATGTCCAGAGATAGGCGGCAAACCCCAGTACCAAGTAGATGGTTGTGAATGTCATGCATTCTGTGCGTTTTCTTTTCCAAAGAGCAAAAGCAAAGACCGACTAAGAGAACATTGACGCATCATAGATGCAAAAAATGAACTACCCATGCTCGCATCCCAGTGCGTCTTCTCTCCCTACACGCGCAACTTAAGGCCGTGCTCAGTATGTGGCAAACCTTTAGGGGACTCCTAAAGAGGGAAATTGAAGACCAATTTATGAACACATTGACGCATCAAATACGCAGAAGATGGACTGCTCATGCTCGCAATCCAATGCGTCTCTCCCCTCACATACAACTTAAGGCTGTGCTCAAGTATGTGGGAAACCTTTAGGGGATAGGGAAATTGAAGACCAATTTAAGAGCACATTGACTCGTCAAAGACGCAAAAGATGGGCTACTCATGCTTGAGATTTATGCCTTTCACTACAACATGACCAAGGGCAGGTTCCCTTGTGACTTGTGCCAAACTGGTTTATCAAAGGTCAAACGGTGCCCTGATTTTCACCGGCCAGCCTGCACTACTTAAACTGTTCTAATGTCAAACTGCTGCTTGAACAGTTTTGGTCCTTAGTGAGAAGGTATATGCCTGGAAAACCAGGCTGCTTCAATCCCGTGGCAGGCTCTCTCTTGCCCATATGAGAAACTCGAAGCAAATCCAAAGCTGGAATGCAAGATTCATCTGACGCAGTAAAATACCAAAACCTTGTAAGCAATGCCTGCTTGTCTACAATGGACGAGCCACGAGCTTGGTCAGCTGCCAGACTGGCTCGTCAGCGCACCGGCTCATGGCAACTTGAACCAAGCCACCTTGTCTTAGACCTATGCTCATGCCTAGTGTTGACAAAAGAGGGGTGTTGGCCCCGCCCACGCTTGGGCAATGCGGACGACTTGGTCCGATGTACGGGAGAAACATCCGACCGCTCACAATGGGAGAGCAGACGACTTCGTCGAGCTGCAGGGGACCGCTGTGGTGCTGCTGTCGACCAGGGAGCTCGACAACTGCAGGTGACTGGGCTGGGCGACGGGTGGGCCGTCGACTAGGACGGGCAGTTCGATTGGGAGGCTGACGGAGCTGTCCGTCAACCTGACAAGTGAGCAGTGGTCGACGAGGGAAGCTCGGCGTCAACCGCTGACAATTCTGGTCGACGGAAAGGGTCCGTCGACCAGGGGGTAGCTTGACAGGAGTTGTGGTCGACTAGAGGCACCTGGTGGTCGACCGGAGGTACCTGGTGATTGACCAGAGGCACCTGGTGGTCAACCAGGTCGACGGGGTAACCTACTCGACGAGTTCTGCGGAGGCATGCGAACGTCGTCGAGATCGCGATGGCGAAGGAGACTTCGGGCTGGTAACGTGAAGTCGATGTGGCTCGTCAGGTGCAGATAACAGCCGATGGATGCACAACGAGGCGAGTTGGGCGCACCTGCGGGCGTACGCACTGCTGTCTTCTACGGGGCAACGCTGGACAGCCGCCCTGCTGCAGCAATGGTACGCCGTTGACCTGCAATGTTGGCAGGTCACCTTTCGGCAGTGCAAGCACAGCTCCTCTACGCAATGCTGGCAATCGGTCGACCATGCAGTGCTGGCGGTCGACCAAACTAGCTCCAGGGTTGCTAGGTGCTTGATGTAGTCATTGTTGTCATTGCTTGTTGAACCAATTCTGTAATTTTGACTTTGCTAGTGGAAACTCTTGCCGATTTCTCCCGTGAATGTGCAAGCGCTAAAGAACTAAGCAAAGCTACGATCACTCCTAGTAGTTTGTGCCAACCTCTGTTGTCTAGCTCACTACCGCTGTAGAGTGACTCTCCGCACCTAGTTTTTCATGACTTCACTGAACACATTTCTTATGGTGGAAAATGCTGATAGCGGCAAACTTGGTCCCTTCATCATGAGGCTCCTAAGGATTATGGCAGACCAAGCTCGGTTCAACTCAAACAAACGAGCCATGGCTATCAAAGCGAGGATAATGCCCAGCGCAAACCCTCTCAATTCCATCTCAATAATGTCTCCATACTGGCCTAGTTTCAGCTCTTGCTCTCGTTAGTTTTGAAACTAATATGGCTCGCATATACTTCCTACCATACGCTGTGATGAGCCTCAAAAAAAGCGGGGCTTGGGTCAAAAGCGGGCCAAAACGGCCCAACCCGGGCTGCACCTCGAGACGGGCCGGCCCAGTCCGCCCCTAAACGGGCGGGCCAAATGTAAGCGTCTGGCCCGACCTGACCCGATTTTGCCAGGCCAAGCAGGTTTCTGGGTCGGGTCGGTTCGGGGCAGCCCCAGACCAGGATGTTGTATACCCTGACCCGACCGGGGGTATAGGGCTGGGCCTTTCCTGGCCCAACATAGGGTCGGGCCGACCCCAGGTCGGCTCGGGTCAGGAAACCGCTCTCGCTTGCGCTCTGCGCAGATCTGCTATTTCGCCCGTCGATCTGTGCAGATCAGAATTTTTGCCTGTCGATCTGCGCAAATCGACGAATCCGTTGCGATATCTGTGAACATCGGGATTTTGCCTGTAGGTTTCTCAGCCTAGGCACACGTTTCGAATATATGTGTTGGAACAAAAATTCCCAACCAATTCGTCACTGCTCACCACCTTTTACCGCACTGAATCTACAAATCCCAAACCCCTCCACTCCCACTCTGTAGAGATCTCTCGACATTCATCCTCTGGACATTGTCGACTAGTACTTGCCTAGAACCTATGATTTATGGGCTGACGGCTAGTTAGGTTGCGGGACTGATGTTGAATGAAAAAATGTCCCCTCGACATCCACTTTAGGGGTTTCACAAGTGTCAAAATCAAGTCGGGTCAAAGCCCGACCTGGTTACCCTGTTTTTTACCCAATTCCGGGTCTCGGGTCAAAGTCGACCTAAGGCTCGACCCGACCCGACCTGAAATTCAACATCGGGTCCGGTTTTTGCCCGAGCCGGACAGACTCGACCCGGCTGGGCCAGGACATTGAAAGTCCTGAGTTGACCTGCCAAAAGCCTGGGTTGGTTTGGGGCCTTTCGCTCATGCCTAGCCAAAATCGGGCCACCGATGGCCCAGACCACGACTGCCCAGCCCGCCCCGGGCCGACAGCCCAATTTAGACGTTCGACCCGGGGCAGTTTCAGGGCAGGGCCGACCCGGCAGGGCCCAGCCCGCCCCCGTGCTCAACCCTACTGTACAGCACCACACTTACTTATCATAGAATACAGGGGTGTATAATTAACCAGAACCACATCTACTGAGGTTTCAGTTCAAAGGTTGGTGGCTCTGCTAGATGTTGGGAAAATTCTGGCTGCCTTTCGCTTGCCTAGTCTGCTTTTCAGGTTAAGAGGAGGTGATGTAGCAGTCATGGCACGAAGAGAACGAGTTGTTAGCCTTCAGCAGAGTCGAGCGTCTGTGCCAAAGGGGTAGACGTATGCGCAGGCATTTATCGAAGTGAGTTGTACACGGAAGGAGGTAAAACCAGTTAGGAAGGATGTAATTGAAACTGTTCTTTCTCCTAACCATTTTCACCCTACGAAAGTTTCCACCAAAAACTCTCGTAGGTAGGTTCACCATAACCGGGCAGGGCCATCATTCTTCTCGGGACAAGCTATTCTCGTGACAAGGCCATCGTACGATGATGTTCACCGCCTGCTCATCACGGGTTGGTCGTATTTACGTAGGCCAATGCTCGTGCTCATCTCTGCATATGTACATCTCTCCACGCTGACAGTCATGTGTGCATGCTCCCACTCATACTCACAGATTGGTCAGCCTGTTCAAGGCACTGATGGAATCTGGAATGGATCCGTTTAATAGTTTGAAGCTTATCGAACTCGTGGGCATTGGAATGAAATGGGTGGGGAACATGATAATTTTATTATGGAACGGGATCAAGAGTGTAACAAAATGAGAGATTGGTGAATCCATCAAGGTCGTTTCGGTACTATTTGAGAAGGAGAGGCCCATGCAGCCCACAAGTTGCATGCATGGAGATGATAGAGACCTGGGAGGTGCATTTGGGTAGTATTCTACTGCACTGAACTCCTTTCAATATGAACCACGCAATAGAAAACAGAGGGAAACGGAGAAGGGAAGGGGGATGATAAGGTAGGTTAGACGACTTTGACACCTAGTACTGCCTCCCAATGTCTATCTTTCATGACTGTGTTTTCAAAGGGACGTTTTGGTTCAGCGGTGACATTTCGCCACATTTCTGTGTGAAATTCGTCCCCATGGCACGTAGCAAACCCTTTAGCAGACCCCCAACACACTCATTGCAAACCTTTCCACCCCTCTCATATGCACCACCACAACCTCCCTCCTTCCACTCACCCATTTTCTCTACTCCTTTGCTGACATTGTGCACAGACCAGATGCATCTACAACAGATGCCATTCCCTTTGGCATGCCAACTAGTTTTCTGACTTGGGCATGATAGAACTACTAGAACTGTGCCTGTCCTGCTCTCTCTGCCCCTCTACAAAACCCCTGATTCACCTTCAATAAAACATGGAAGATGTTCCTCAATCATGTTTAAAGATAGATTCTAACCTTAACAAAATTTTGAGCATGATTTTAACATGGAATGATTCCAAAGGGTCCACGAAAGCAGACAGTGGGTTTGGATGAGAGGAGGACCGTGGGATGAACGGTTCAAGTAGTAAGGGAGTGCAAGTGAAGAACAAAGAAACACACAAAGGCATCCAGCAAATCCATGGTCCGCAAGGGCTCAATCAGCGAACGCAAGTACCTGCAGCTGCACCTGTTGCCATACCACTTGACATGCCAACTCGTGCTCTGACTTATGCATGGTAGAAGGTGGCTGCCACGTACTCCGACTCAGTCGATAACAACGTCGCACACTTGATGCGCTGGCTCGACCAGGAGACTGCGGCCCCTCCATAGACGAACACATAGCCACCCGTGCTCGTCCTGTTCTGCTTGTCACCGGCATCGTCGGCGTCCACGTAGCCGACCATCTCCAGCGACTCAGGTCCACCGCCGAACTCCAGTGCGGTGTCGCGCGTATTGGCAAGGTAGGCGAGGCAGCGGTCGACCTCGCGCCAGTGCTGGTCGCTCCTCACCGTGAGGCCGCTCCCCAGCTTGCTGCAGGCGAAGGCGATGTCCGGCCTTGTCGTCGTCGCCGCGAACTGCAGCGAGCCGACCTTCTGCCGGTACTCCTCTTCCTGCCGCTCCTGTGCCTCCTCGTCATCGAACGTGAGCTCGGCATAGGCATCGACCGAGACCGGCGTCTTCGGGGTGCGCCCGGTCTGCTCATCGTCGATGAAGCGCCTACAAAGCTTGTCGGCGTAGCCCAGCTGGTGCAGCCACAGCTTCCCCGCCGACCTGTCGCGGACGATCTCCAGCCCGAGGTACTTCTGCACCGGCGAGATCTCACGCAGCTCGAAGGCGGCTTCCAGAAGCTCCTTCAGCTCCTTCAACACCGCGGCGCTACTGCTGGCGGCAAGTAGGTCGTCGACGTAGACCAGCACCCAACAGGCCACTCCGTCCTTTCCGTCCTTGAAGAAGAGAGCCTCGTCGACCTGGCTCTACTTCCACCCGGCGCCGACCAGCACGTCATTGAGCGCCAAGTACCATAGCAGCGGCGACTGCTTTAGCCCGTACAGGCTCTTCAGCAGCTTGCACACCCGGCCGGTCCCGTCGTTGAAGTAGTCCGGCTGGGACATGTAGAGCACCCTGTCGAGCTTGCTCTGCAAGAAGGCGTTCTTCATGTCGAGCTGCATCAGGTTGAGGTTGCGGACGGCGACGATGCTGAGGAAGATCCTCAGCGTAACGTAGCTGCCCACCGGCGCGAACGTCTCGTCGTAGTCGGCGCCGTACACCTGCGTGAAGCCCTTCACAACCAGCCTCGCCTTCTCGCGCTCGACGGTGTCGTCGACGTGGTACTTCGTCGTCAACACCCACCGGTTCTTCATGACGTTCACTCCCGGCGGACGTTCGACCAACTCCCACGTTCCCATGTTGAGGAGGCTGCGAATCTCCTCCTCCATGGCGGCCTTCACCGTCGGGCCCTTCCAGCTCGCCAACGCCTCCTTCACCGTCATCGTCAAGATGTCCCAACGGTGCTCGGGGTCGGCTAGCATGTCGGGGTCGAGCTCTGGAAACTCCTCATCCTCCCCGGCATCGTCGTACAGCAGGTCGTCGGCCTCATCGTCCACGTCGTACACCGTGGTGAAGGCAGCGGGGACGAAGAAGTCAGGCGGCCTCCGAAGTCGGCCTGAACGCCGTGGTCTTGGCTGGACCTCCTCGGCGTCCCCTCCATCGTTGCTGTTGTCGCTGCCCTCGGCGTCCTGCTGCTCCTCAGCCGGCGTCCCAGCCGACTTCTCCCCTATGGTCGGCTCCCCTGCCGACTGCCCGGTCGCCGACTGCTCCTTGGTTGGCGTCACTGCTGCCTGCTCCTTTGTCGGCCGCTGGTCCTTGACCTGCTTCTCGACCTGCTCCTCCCCTGTCGACGTCGACTGTAATCCCACGTCGACCTGCCGCTTGTCACGTTGGCCACCGGCGATGCACTTGGCCGAAGGCGACGTCCCACTACTCCCCTCATCGCCGGAGGCCGACACCGAGGTCAGCCCACGCAGGTCGGCCACGAGGGGAGGGGCAGGGGTCGGAGGGGGAGGGGTAGGGGGGCGGACGTCCTCGACGTCCGTAATAGCAAGCTCACCGACCTCAGCAAGCAGTGGCACCGTTGCCGACGAGGTGTCAGAGGGCGGGGTGGGCGACGAGCGGCCGGACACCGACCCGTACTCCGTCTTCCACTCGGCCAGCGACAGCTCCTTGTAGAACACCACATCCGACGTGGTGACCACCCGGTCGGCGTCGACGTCGAGGAGCTCCCAGCCCTTGCTCGCCGCCGACACGCCAAGGTGCAGGCCCCACCTGGCCTTCGGCTGCAGCTTCCCACCACGCTGCTGCTCGGTGACTAAGAACTGCGCCATGCAGCCCCACACCCGCGCCAGCGACAAGTCGGGCTTCTTCCCGGTCAGCAGTTGGTACGGCGTCGTCCCCGGCGGCAGCGGCGACCTCTCAAGGCAGTTGCGGACCCAGACGGCCTGCCGGAGAGCGAGGTGCCACCAGTGGTGCTGCACGCCCATGTGCAGCAGCATTGTCCGCACCGACTCCACCACCGTCCTCATCTCCCGTTCCGCCATGCCGTTCTGCTGCGGGGTGTATGGGCAGGTCAGGTCATGGACGATCCCCTTGCCGTTCACGAAGTCGGTGAACTGCTTCCCGACCTCAACAAGGCTGAAGGTGTAACCCTGTGACGACCGCTGCAGAGCCTGGTCGTCAGCCCAAGAAGCGTCAGCGTGACCTGTGAGGACTACTCGACGTCGCCCTCCAAGCACTAGCTTAATGCCCGACGTACTGCATACGTAGCGCAACAACCTCTTTGCTGCAGCCATGTGCTCTGGTCGGTGTCTCCCAGGAGCAACATACCGTGTCAAGATGCTAAGGGGGTATGCAAGGTCAGGTCGTGTGCAGGTCATCAGGTACACGAGGCAGTACGTGCCACTCAGCTCTACGGACTCATCCGAAGGCAGAGCTGAGAGCAAGTGGCGAGTAGACAGAGGAGTGGCCTGAGGCGAGGAGTACGTGAAGCCGAAGCGCTGAAGGACCTGCTGCACCATGTCTGACTGAGTCAGGGTAATGGTGCACTGTGCTCTGTCCCGGGTGATCTCCAAGCCAAGTTAGCTACGCAGTTCACCCAGGTCTGTGCACGTGTGTCTCTTCTGCAGCTCGGACTTCACGTAGGCGAGTCCAGCAGTGTCAGTAGTGGCAAAGACCAAGTCGTCGACGTACACAGGAATGTAGAACGGCGGCAAAGAGGTGTCGGTGTGCAGAAACAGCGACGGGTCGGCTGTAGACGGAGCAAACCCTTGAGCCGCAGGAGTAGTCCTCAATGTGTCGTACCACTTACGCGGCGCCTGGCGGAGACCGTAGACTGGCCGCCGGAGGCTCCACTGGGTACCAGGAGGAAACGACCCAGTGAAGCCAGGTAGGCGGCGCAGCCAGATCTCCTCGTGCAGGCTGCCCTGCAGGAAAGCTGTGCTGAAGTCAAGAGAGTGAAGCTCGTAGTCGCGCTGAGCGGCTATGTGCAGCAGCACCCAAAGAGTGGTCATCTTCGGGGTGGGAGAGAAGGTCTGAAAGTAGTCAACTCCCTGCCGCTGACTGAAGCCTCGAGCCACGTAACGCGCCTTGAAGACAGGCGGCCGCTTCACCCTGAAAATCCACATGCCACTACCGATGTTTGCCCCAGGTGGGGGAACCTCGGCGACGTAGGTGCGTGTGGACTTCCAGGAAGCCATCTCTGCGTCCATGGCTGACTGCCACTGAGAGGAGTACGGACCCTCGATCGCCTCAGCGTACGATCGAGGAGTCGCGATGTCTGGTGCATTCGGGTCTCCCTCAGGGGCAATCAGCGTGGACACGAGATGGGGCAAAGCAGCAGCAAAGCACTGGAACTCCTCCTGCTTGTCCTCAAGGACGTCCGTGCTAAGAGCACACCCACCCTCGACGGACGGAGGACGGACAGACTCAGACTCAGCAACGAGACTAGCAACGTAGTCTAGACGACAGCGAGCAGCGAAGTCGACAAGCTCAGCAACTAGGGTAGATGCAGCAGTGGACTCAAAGGAAGGGTCAGTGAGAACAGTAGCAAGGAGACGCGTGACGGAAGGACTAGCAGCACAAAGGGAGTCAGACTCCGGGTCAACAAGAGTAGGAAGAGAGGACTCTGGAGGAGATGGCAACAGGACACGCAGAGTAGCGGTGGAAGGACGCAGCGCCATCTGGTGTGTGTCGGGGACCGCAGGAGGACGCGGACGCGCAGTATAACCACTAGTGCGAGCAGCACGAACAGGCGCACAGGACGAGACGCACGCTCACGACGCTCAGCAAAACCTCCAGTAGGACCAGTGTAGGGAGAAGGAGCAGGTAGAGGGGAGGCGGGCTATAGCTGTGACTGCGACTGGACAGGCTGTGGACACTCTAAGGAAGGAGCAGGACAAGGAGAGGGCGGGAGACCAAAAACCTGCTCCAGGAGCGGAACGAAGTACGGCCTCGGCCGCTCAGCACCTCCAGAACTAGCAAGGACGGCACCAGCACCCCCAGCGGGAGCACCAGCGCCAGCAGCACCTCCAGCTCCAACAGCGCCAACTCCAACACCCTCAGAAGCACTAGCGCCAGCAGCACCGCCAGCGCCAACACCCCCTGCAGCTCCAGCTCCAGTAGCACCAACTCCAAGAGGACCGTCAGCTCCAGCAGCCTCAGCAGCACCCCCAGATGCACCAGCGCCAGTAGAAACACCAGCACCAACACCCCCAGCAGCTCCAGCTCCAGCAGCACTAGTACTGCCAGCAGCTCCAGCAAGACCAACTCTAGTAGCCCCAGCAGCACCCCTAGTCGAAGCAACATGTCTCCAGCGGCGGGCAAACCACTCGCGCAGCTCCTGTGGAGAGAGTGGCTCCCGCCTCGACGAAGCACCGCCGGCGGCCACACGAGCAGACCCAGCGCCCCCAGGCTCGGCACCCCCAGGCTCCGCACCTCCAGGCTCCGCACCCCCAGGCTCGGTACCCCCAGACCCAGCACCTCCAGGCTTAGCAACCCCAGACTCAGCGCCCCCAGTCTCAGCACCCCCAGGCTCCGCACCTGCAGGCTCAGTACCTCTAGCAGCACCACAGTCAACAGCTACCTCGACAGGCTCGACTGCGTCTACCTGGGACACACCTGACAAGGCAGGACCCTGAGGGGGGAGGTGGTCTACCGGGCGAGGACCTGGTGCAAGAAAGAGCGGCGGCGGGGGGAGGGGCGCAGTGCTGTAGGGGAAGAGACGGTAGTAAGGTACCGAGTCGTCAAAGGTGACGTTCTGGGAGGACAGAACACGACGCGAGGTGGGGTGGTAAAACTGCCACCCAGGCGCGTCAGGGGGGAAGCCAAGGAAGACGAAGGGAACAGCACGGGGGGACAGCTTGTCCGCAGACAAGTCGCGGACAAATGCCCGAGATCCCTAGACCCGAAACGCAGACGCATCGCCAACCTTCCCGGTCCACCGCAATGCGGGGGAGGTCTCTGGCAAGGAGACCCGGGGCTAAAGGTTGAGCTGATGCGCGGCGTACTAAACTGCAAACGGCCACAAAAAATGGGGGGCAGCCGCATGCATCATGGACGTACGAGCGACGTCCATGACCATGCCAATGCGGTGCTCAGCAATCCCATTTTGCTGTGGAGAGGCCGGAAATGTGAAGGTCTGGCGGATGCCCTATGCAAGATAGAAGGCTCCCATACGGGCATAGGAAAACTCCCCGCCTCTGTCCGAGTGCAGACGCAGAACAGGAAAGTCCGAGCCAAAACTCTCTCTGAGCTGGAGACGAGCTGCGCGGATCCAGCCGATCAACAACTCAGGGACGTCACCCTTGCTGCGCAAGGGGAAGACTGTGGTGTAACGCGAGTAGTCGTCAACCACCAGCAGGAAGTTCCGCTCGCGCCCCTGCCCACTTACGCGGGCTGGGCCCCTCACATCCATGTGGAGAGTCTGCAGCAGAGCCTCTGTCGGAGGAAACAAGGAGGAGTGAGGGGCGGCGCGCTGTCGCCCCTCGACGCAGGGGACGCAAGTAGGGCAAGGCCCCGGAGGTAGGGGATGGAGAGACCGAGGGAGACCAGAGACAAGGACACGGGAGGCCATGCCTCGGAGACGAGGCAAGGAGGGGTGCCCAAGGCGGTGGTGCCAAAGGAGAGTCTGGTGGCACAGGAGACGACACGAGCAGGGAGCAGACTCTGGACCAGATCAGGACGCTGCAGCAAACACCTGACTCGACGTAGCCACCTGGGCAGACGCAGCAGTCGAAGGAGACTCAGTAGTAAGGGTGTACAGGCTCGACCCTGGCCGACGGGTGAGCGTGGCCAAGTGTCGGCTTGACCGAGCACACGTGCAGTGGGTCACTCGCTAACTCGCAAGAGTGAACTGGTCAACCCTCCTATCCTGTAGGTCTGCTCCAGTCACCAAGTTTGTAGAGAACGAGGGGAGGTAGAGACCTGACAGGGTGCCAGAGGGGGCTGCGGGGCACGATAAGACAGTGGAGAAGCTAGCAAGGACATGACCGCCAGAGGGGTCTGCCAGGGAGACTGCAACCGGCCGACTGAGCGGCGTAAGAGTGGTGCGGTCTCAAAAGAAGGAGCGGGACCCACCCGAGTCAAGGGTGAAGGTGTGGAAGGCCTGAGCTGACGTAGTACCTGAGAGAGCAGACTCATCAGCACCTGGGGCAGCAGACGCACTGTCACATGGGGCAGTAGACGCACTGGCACCTGGGGCAGCAAACGCACTAGCACCTAGAGCAGCAGCCTCACCAGCACCTAGAGCAGTGGCCTCAATGCCCGGCTCAGGCGGTACACACAGATAATAGTCACCTTCAACACTAGTAGTCACACAATACATGGCAGCAAGGATAGCATCATAGTCAAGATCAAAGACGGCAACCCCCGCCCTAGACAGATCTCCCCAACGAGGGATCTCTGACGCCTCAGGGAACTGGCGACGCCACGCGTCTGTCAGGCGACCGAAGCAGCGCTGGGTGGAGTGCGGGCCTCTGCATTGCTCACCAGCTTGGTCGCCAATACGGAGGACGTAAGTGCAGGGACCAAAACCCCCACCGCGCTGACGCGCAGTGTACCACTCACGAAGCTGCTGGGGGGACAGGGTCACACCACTCCGCTGCTGCTGGCGCGGACCACCACCGGAGCCTCTCCTCTGCGCAGAGTCGTGACCCGTTCCACCACCGCCGCCACCGCCGCCACAGCCGCCGCCTCCTCCACCTCCGCCTCCTCTGCCACCTCTGCCTCCTCCGCCACCTCCGCCGCCTCCGCTCCCTGTGCCACCACCACCACCTCCGCCTCCGCTCCCTCTGCCACCACCACCGCCTCCGCCGCCTCCACTGCTGCCGCCGCCGCCACCCCCGGCACCACTCCCACCACCACCCCCACTCCCTCCACTGCCTCCACTACCACCTCCACCGCCCCCTCCAGCCCCTCCAGCGCCCTTGCCCCCCTTGCCCTTGCCGATGCGGCGTTTCCCGCTCCGGGCAGACGCATCGCCGACCGACTCGAAACCAACGAGGTCAGCCGCAGCAGAAGAGGCAACAAAGGGCAAGAGGGGGGAGGGAGAACACCCCTCAAAGACGGGGGTGCGAGGGTCACCACGAGAGGCTCCTATAGCGACTATGCTCTTCTCTGCCACTAGGAGGGCCTTTTTGAGGAGGTCAACGGTGAGAGTGGTGGGGCAAACTGAGAGGAAGTGGTCCAAGACTACGCGGAGAGAGTCAAGGAGCCGGGTGACTATGTAGTAGAGAGTGATCTACATGGGGGCGGGGGGGGGGGGGGTTCTTGGCGTAGAACTCAGTAGGAAGCGCAGCGCGGTAGCGAGTGTCACTAGTGTGGAGGTGCGTAATGAGGTCAGCAACTGTGGGAAAGGCAGCAAGGTCAGGGAAGAGGTACGGTAGCATGAGGCGGCTCAGTGCAGCAGTGGCAGGGGAAGAGTAGCGTGCAACTACAGCGTCGTACAAGGTATGAGCACTCTTGTACTGGCTAAAGTGTGCACGCTCAGTGGTCGGTAAGTGGCGGCGCACAGCAAGGCGAGCAGCAGCATCGCGCGTGGCCCACTGTGAGCGAACAATGGCGTGAGCATCAGCAGCAGGGGCAAGAGAGGCACCAGAAGTGAGGTTAAACAGGGAGAGACCGTCTGCCCTGTCGCACTGTAGGAAAAGCTGCAGATCATCTACCCACACCTCAAAGTCACCTGCCCAACCCTCAGCGTCAAAGGTGAGAACACTAGGGGAGGCCATGACAGCAGTAGAAAGGCAGTGAAAACAGTGGGGCAGGGCAGTGCAGTGGTAGTGGCGCTGCTCTTACCAAGCAAGTAGGGCAGTCCCGGGCAGGCTGACAGGCGGCAGTGCCTCGACTGCGGTGCAGCTCGGCGGCTCGGGGGTTCGGCTGCTGGGCAATTCGGCGGTCGGGCGGCTGAGCTACAGGGCGGCTCGGCGGTCGGGCGGCTCGGCTGCTCGGCTGCTCGGCGGCTCGGCTGCTCGGCGGGTGGGCTGCTCGGCGGTTCGGGCGTTGGGCGGCTGAGCGGCGACGGGGCCGTGGAAGGGCAGCGACGCGGCCGCTAAAAGGGCAGCGACGGGCCGCTGAAAGGGTGGCGACGGGCCGCTGAAAGGGCGGCGACTGGGTCGCGGAAGGGCGGCGCCGGGGCCGCTGAAGGGCAGCGACGGGGCCGCGGAAGGGCGGCGACGGGGCCGCTGAAAGGGCGGCCGGCAACGGGGCCCGCTGAGAGGGCGGCGACGGGGCCGCTGAAAGGGCGGCGACGAACCCGCGGAAGGGCGGCGATGGGGCCGCTGGAGGGCGGCGACAAAGGGGGGGCGTGGAAGGGCGGCTACGGGGCCGCGGAAGGGCGGCGTCGGGGCCGCGGAAGGGCGGCGACGGGGCCACTGAAAGGGCGGCGACGGGGCCGCTGAAAGGGCATTGGCAACGGCCTGGACCATGGCATCCATGCGGCGCGTGGCGAAATTGGACCTCCAATCATCGCAAAATTGCATCTAAAATGCCTCGTCTTCGTCCTTTTTCGTTAATCAGTTCCGGTTTGTGCACGCCGTGGACGGTCGGCTCCATATAATGTATTTCTGCTTGCCCATGGGTGGCAACTTTGCAACAAGGAAACGGCGGGGATGTCGAAAGCTGGTTGGCTGCTTTCTTGCTCTGACGTCACATTGGGAATGAAAATTGTCGATCGCTAAAAAATGGACAGCACACGGTGGCACATAGCAAGATCCGAAACAACAGATGGCTGACACTATGACGGCAGCAATGTGAAGAAGGCATGAGCGGTCAGTGGAAGACAGGGAGGGGAAATAGATGAAGGTGAAATGGAACACAACTAGAGGGGATGGATCCTCGCCTGACTGCCTCCCACCGACGCCACCACCAACCCCACCAGCAACCGAGGGGAAAGGGTGGACTCGTTTGCAGCGAACCTGGCTATATGCATTTGGTCAATCTGAAAAGCACTTGATATAATTGGTAACTTCATTCAAACTAGCCCAATTATGCATATTTGACAAGTAAGCATTGCAGATATAACTTGGGACAAACAGAGAAAAAAGGGTATCACTTTTTGAACTTAAAAGGGTCCTCTTTAGACTAGGGGGACTCACTTTCCGGTTATATCCAGAAAAACAGCCGCATCTTGTCTAGGTTGCGAAACCTGCCATTCTGATTTGATCAACGGAACTCATGCTGGTGGATAGCAGCACATATGAGGATAAGCTGGAGTCTGAGGTGCCGCGGTGAGAGAGAGGATACGCGGGGGAGCGATGATACGCTGGGGGGGCGGACGAGTAGAGCGAGGCGGGGTGGTGCAGTGGCTAAAGTTGCTCGGAGGGCCTGCCCGGGTGGTGAGGGAGGAGCTCATCCGTGAGCTTTTGCACCCAATGGCGCGGACCACCACCGGAGGACACCCAGACTCAGACTCAGCAACAAGACTAGCAACGTAGTCTAGACGACAGCGAGCACCAAAGTTGATGAGCTCAGCAATGAGGGCAGACGCAGTAGTGGACTCGAAAGAAGGGTGAGTGACGACAGTAGCAAGAAGACGCGTGACAGTAGGACTGGCAGCACGAAGAGAGTCCGACTCCGGGTCGGCAAGAGTAGGAAGAGAGGACTCAGGAGGAGAAGGCAAAGGGGCACGCAGAGGAGCAGTGGATGGACACAGAGACATCCGGTGCGTGCCAGGGACAGGAGGAGGACGCTGACGCGAAGTACGACCACTAGTGCGAGCAGGACGGACAGGCGACGTAGGGCGAGACGCAGGCTCACGACGCTCAGCAAGACCTCCAGTAGGACCAGTGTAGGGAGAGGGAGCAGGCAGTGGGGAGGTCGGCGGTAACTGCAACTGTGACGGGACAGGCTATGGACACTCTAAGGGAGGAGGAGGACCAGTAGAAGGCGGGAGACCAAGAACCTGCTAAAGGAGCGGAATGAAGTACGACCGAGGCCGCTCAGCGACTCCAGACACAGCAAGGACGGTACCAGCACCCCCAGCGGCAGCACCAGCGCCAGCAGCACCTACAACTCCAGTACCTCCAGCAGCACCAGTAGCACCTATAGTAGCACCGCCTCCATGACCGACAGTAGTAGCCTCAGCACCAACACCCTCAGCAGCTCCAGCTCCAGTCGCACCCGCCGGCCCAGCAACTCCAGTACCTCCAGTATGAGCACCTCCGGGACCCACGGCACCAGCACCCTCAGCAGCCGAAGACCCTCCAGCTCCTGCAGCACGGATCCAGCGCCGGGTAAACCACTCGCGCAGCTCCTGTGGAGAGAGTGGCTCCCGCCGAGATGAAGCACCCGGAGAACCTCCAGGCCCAGCACCGCCAGACGCCACACGAGCAGGCCTAGCCCCCTCAGGCTGCATACCCCCAGGCTCAGCACCTCCAGACGTAGCACCCCCAGGCTCCGCACCCCATGGCGTAGCACCCCCAGGCTCAGCACCCCCAGACTCAGCACCCCCAGTCTCAGCACCCCCAGTCTCAGCACCCCCAGTCTCAACACCCCCAGTCTCAGCACCCCCAGAGTCAGCACCCCCAGGCTCAGCACCCTCAGCAGCACAAGAGTCACCTGTGACCTCGACAGGCTCGACTGCGTCTACCTGGGACACACCTGAAAGGGCTGGACCCTGAGCGGGGAGCCGGTCTACCGGGGGAGGACCTGGTACGAGGAAGAGCGGCGGCGGGAGGAGGGACGGAGTGCGGTAGGGGAAGAGGCGGTAGTAGGGGACCGACTCGTCAAACGTGACGTCCTGGGAGGACAGAACACGGCGAGAGGTGGGGTGGTAGAACTGCCACCCTGGCGCGTCAGGGGGGAAGCCAAGGAAGACACAAGGAGCCGCATGAGGGGACAGCTTGTCCGCAGACAAGTCGCGGACAAACGCCCGAGATCCCCAGAAACGGAACGCAGATGCATCGCCAACCGTCCCTGTCCACAGCAAGGCTGGGGAGGTTTCCGGCATGGAGACCCTGGGGTGAAGGTTGATCTGATGCGCTGCGTACCGAACCGCAAACAGCCACAGAAAATGGGTGGCGGCCGCATGCATCATGGACGTACGGGCAACGTCTATGACCATGCCAATGCGGCGCTCAGCAATCCCATTTTGCTGTGGAGAGTCTGGAAGCGTAAAGGTCTGTTGGATGCCTCGTGCACGACAGTAGGCTCGCAGAAGGCCAGAGGAGAACTCTCCGCCTCGGTCAGAGTGCAGACACAGAACAGGAAAGTCCGAGCCAAAACTCTGCCTAAGCTGGAGACGAGCTGCGCGGATCCAGTCGATCAACACCTCAGAGACATCACCCTTCCTGCGCAAGGGGAAGACTGTGGTGTAACGTGAGTAGTCGTCAACCACCAGCAGGAAGTAGCGCTCGTGACGCAGTCCACGGACGCGAGCGGGGCCCCACACGCCCCACACGCCCCACACGCCCAAGGCCTGTTCCACTTCATCGTCCTCCTCCTCCTCCTCCTCCTCTTCCTCCTCATCCTCATTCTCCCTGGCATTTCGAGCAGCCACATCTTCACCCTCCTTATGCTTCCCTTTTCCTCTCCCTCTCTGCCACAGCTGAGAAAGTTGAAACGAGAAATGAATGCACTAAGGAATGAAAGTGGTACAAATATGCAACCCTAGAAATGTGTACCCCATATAGGCTACCCCAATACAGCCTACACAATATCATAATTTGACACACCCCCATAGGCAAAGTGGGGGAGAACAAGGGGTCACAAGACCAGTCAAGCAGAGCAAAACAAAGCTCAGGGTATATCATTAAGTCACCACACATTCGGAGAACAAGTTCAAGGCCAGAAGGCCAGTTCACATGCAGGAGCACATATATATATATGAAAGGCTAAACAAGAAAGAGCAGGAGTATATATATGTGATAGTACAAGCAAGGTCAAGAAGCGAGCAAGTGAGGCAAGACATGAACAAGACCAAGCTGAGTACAGAGGCGCTGATGATCACAAGGCGCAAGTGCCTTGGTGAAAACATCAGCATGTTGGCCTCAGAGGCCACGTACGCAAGTCGCAACAGACCACGCTGCTGCAGCTCACGAGCAAGAAAGTAGCGGAGAGCAATGTGCTTCGTTCTGTGCTCCAGGCACTGCTCCCGACACAAGGCCAGCATGGCGTTGTTGTCTACGTACAGCACAGGAGGAGAACGAGGCGGCTCTCCGAGGTCAGTCAGCAGGTAAGTGAGCCAGTGAAGCTCCTCAGCAGCCATGGCTCCTGCGTAGATCTCAGCCTCACAACTGGAGCCGAGAACAGAAGACGAGCGAGTAGCCCGCCACGAAACAAAGCCGGAACCAAGACTGAAGGTGTAACCCTGTGACGACCGCTGTGTAGCCTGGTCGTCAGCCCAAGAAGCGTCTGCGTGCCCAGTGAGGACCACTGGACTCTGCCCTCCAAGCACTAGCCCCATGCCCGACGTACTGCACAAGTAGCGCAACACCCTCTTCGCTGCAGCCATGTGCTCCGGTGTGTGTCTCCCAGGAGCCACATAGCGTGCAAGAATGCTAAGAGGGTATGCAAGGTCAGGTTGTGTGCAGGTCATCAGGTACATGAGGCAGCCAACAAGCTCTAGGTACGGGCCACTCGACTCTACGGACTCATCCGAAGGCAGAGCTGAGAGCGAGTGGCGAGTAGGCAGAGGAGTGGCCTGAGGCGAGGAGTACGTGAAGCCGAAGCGCTGAAGGACCAGCTGCACCATGTGTGACTGAGTCAGGGTAATGGTGCGGCGTGCTCTGTCCCGGGTGATCTGCAAGCCAAGGTAACTGCGCAGTTCACCCAGGTCTGTGCACGTGTGTCTCTTCTGCAGCTCGGACTTCACGTGGGCGAGTCCAGCAGTGTCAGTAGTGGCAAAGACCAAGTCGTCGACGTACACGAGGATGTAGAACGGCGGCAAAGAGGTGTCGGTGCGTAGAAACAGCAACGGGCCGGCAGTAGAGGGAGCAAACCCAAGAGCCGCAAGCGTAGTCCTCAGTGTGTCGTGCCACTCACGCGGTGCCTGGCGGAGACTGTAGACTGGCCGTCGGAGGCTCCTCTGGGTGCCAGGAGGAAAAGTCCCAGTGAAGCCAGGTGGACGGCGCAGCCAGACCTCCTCGTGCAAGCTACCCTGCAAGAACGCAGTGCTGAAGTCAAGGGAGTGAAGCTCGTAGTCACGCTGAGCGGCTATGTGCAGCAGCACCCGAAGAGTGGTCATGTTCGGGGTGGGAGAGAAGGTCTGAAAGTAGTCAACTCCCTGCCGCTGACTGAAGCCAGAAGCCACGTACCGCGCCTTGAAGACAGGTGGAGAACTTGGCGGCCGCTTCACCCTGAAGATCCACATGCCACTGACGATGTTCGCCCCATGTGGGGGAACCGCGTCAACGTAGGTGCTTGTGGACTTCCAAGAAGCCATTTCTGCATCCATAGCTGCCTGCCACTGAGAGGAGTACGGACCCTC